TTGGACATTGCATACAACTTTTAAAGGTTTGTGCAATATTAAGAAAAAAAAGAGAAAATATGTGGTTTTGGAAATTTGTAAATTATTTTAGAGTAAAATATTTCGCTGAGCAAATTTTAAATCATTGAAGATTGTGTATGACAATTTGGCAATTTGCATAGTATCAGACATCGGAAGGTATTAAACGAGACATTTGATTAGACGCCATTATAAAACATTAACGTATATTGAATAATTTCTGGAAAGAAGTACTTTATTCACTAGGAATCCAAAATGTTAAATTATTACCACTTCGATGAGAAAATTCCATCAAAAACTTAATAACACATAAAATATTACGGGACCTTTATACGAATGTTATATCAAAACTTGGATGTATATAGACATTTTTCAGCGAAAGTGTTTTACCGGGCTATATACTAGAATGCCCAAATTATAGTCACTGCAATGGCTTCATAATATTGACATTGGGTGTTAGACATCAAGAACCGCTTATACCAAATTCTAGCAACATCGGTGAGAAAATACTTTAAAACATTAAAATTTGGGAGGTACGGTTATCTGTACCGAACCGTAAACCGATATTGATAAATTTTGGTAGGATGAATTGACACCACATGAGAACTAGAAAAATCCAATTTGGGAGAAATTATCTTTAAAAGTCCATGTTTTTAAACAGCCCTCATATAAATGTCCCTCCCTATGTTCAGTGTTATTAGGATTTTAATTCTGCTGATAAATGTGATCAAACCAAGTTCAGCCTTCCCCCACCGACAAAAAAAAAAACAGAATAATGGGGATTCCAATACAAGGGAGCCACCCGAAACTTTTGAACAATATTGAGAGTGCCCAAAGCATCAAGATACCGTATATTGGAGGGTAGCGTAGTATGGAGCCCTATGTAACTATTTCTAATTTTTGGTATGGTGATATTATATTCAATGCGAATCCCTTAAATATTAACCGATCATTACCGATCTTCTTTGGTTGGAACCGATCGTGCATGCAAAATTTTTTTACAAATTATAATGAGTAGACGAACGGACACACATGACTACATCGACACAGCTCAGAGATATGTCGGTATACTAAAAGGTGGGTCTAGGACCAATATTTAGCAGTGTTTCAAACTTTTGGGGGCCACAAAAAGCTACAATACCTCCACAACATATTTGTGTGAGATTTAAATATACCTTCCCTTGTCTTCTTAATTAGCTGAATTTTCGATGTAAAAATAAAAAAAATACTGATATGAAATTAACCGATTAATGTACTTCTTCAATTTATTGTTGCATTTTCAATACATATACGAGCACCATATAATGTGAAAACAAACGGTCACGGTCATTGTGTGCAAAGTGTCCGATTAATGATTGAATAGGCTGTTTCACTATGTGAGACCTTGTGCTAGAAATTTAAATGAATGCTGAAGATTGAATACTGCATGTATTCAACATCAAAATTGACATCAGCAATATAAAGTACATTGCTTTATTATTCAAGCAACGAGAATGAACGAAAATAGATAACAAAACAGGCAAATCTTTGGAAAAACGTAAACAAGAACTAAATCGAATACAAGTATTTACCTCGACTGTCGACTGTCTATTTTTGTGTAGGCTTTAAAAGCTTGTAAGGACCCACCTCGCGCATTATTGGTCGTCATATGTCCTTCCGTCCGTTAAAAAAGTACAAGCCACAGTTGTAGACCATTCACCACGTGATTTTTGATCACTTCTAGCCAAAGAAAACACCTATATGTTTTCGTAAACTATGATGAAAATGGATAAAATGGAATAAAAACTTTATTTTTATCTGTATTGAGTTCTCAGTTTTGATAAAAATGGGTCAATATTATGTGACAAGACAATTATGTGAACAAAATACAAATTCGTTCTATGCCATTTATATTTACTCTAGAAGAAATAAACCGGAGATGCTGGCTGTATATGGGCAATATTGCCAATTTTTTAATATTCCATTTAAAAAAAATCGACCTTTTTATACCCTTTACCACACTGTACCATAGTGTGTATTATGTCTTTGTGCATATGTTTGTAACAGGCAAAAGGAAAAGTGATAGACCCATGGTTCCTTTTGAGAATATGCCTAGAATCTCTTTCTGATTTATGCATGTCCGTCTTTCCGTCCGTCCGTCTGTCCATGTCAAATTGTAAACAAAGTGCAGGTCGCATTTATTATCAGAATGAGATGAAATTTGGCACAGATCATTTATTTGGCCCAGGGACGAACCCTATTGAAATTGGGAAAAATCGGTTCAGATTTAGATATAGCTCCCATATATATTTTCGTCCGATTTTTAGCAAATGGTGCACCAAAGAGTCAAATTTAAGCGGATTAGCACGAAATTTTATTGAAATCGGTCCTGATTTAGATATAGCTCCCATATATATTTTCGTCCGATGTTTAGCAAATGGTGCACCAAAGAGTCAAATTTAGACCGATTGGCACGAAATTTTGTACAACGTACTGAAGTTAGGATAGACTAACGTGTGCCAAGTTTTATTGAAATTTGTTGAATTTTAGATATAGCTCCCATATATATGTTCGTCCGATTTTTAGCAAATGGTGCACCAAAGAGTCAAATTTTGGCGATTGGCATGAAATTTTGCACAACGTACCAAAGTTAGGATAGACTAACGTGTGCCAACTTTTATTGAAATCGGTTAAGATTTGCAAATAGCTCCCATATATATGTTCGTCCGATTGTTCGCAAATGGTGCACCAAAGATTTAAAGTGTGTCCGATTGGCACAAGATTATGCGCAACGTATCGAAAAACACTAAACACCATGATGAATCAAATGATATCAAAATCACACAAGTCTGTTACAGCGATAACAAGATATTGATGGAAAATATTTGTTTTTAGTTCGAAGAAAAAATGTCATCATATTTATTTTTTAATTCTCTACAAGAAATTTCAGGGAAAAATATATTATATAACATATATATAAAAATAATCATTTTTTGTGTATAATTATACACCTAGCGGATTTTACCAAGACCTTCCGACAAATCTTGGGGCTCTATAAGTAGGAATAAATCCTAAAATAAAACTATATTATGAAATGTATATTTTAAATTGCGTCTAAATCGCGTAATTATCAAGATCATTTGATGCGAACGCGGTTTCCAGGAAGTTCTGAAATTTCATTTGACGGCTAAGATGTACTACATGTTGCATTGAAGTACCCAAAAACTCGTAAAACGTGAATAATTTCCGAAAGTTCCATATGCCATTAACGGTGTGCACCCTAAAAAAAACATCGATCTATACCGATTTCAATGCGGTCCATTAAGAACCATGGATGACCCAGCTCACAAAATTTTTGAGATAAATTGAAAAATATCAAAATCCGTATCAGGCCATTTATTGAAGCGCAAATGATCCACAGAAAATGCAATTAAATCCGCGATATTTTTTAAAACATTTTATGCCAAATTTTGTGTTTTTGAAGGGCCAGTAACCTCCGTTCTAGTAGATGGATTTTCACGAAGAAGATTTTATATCATCCGAAACCTAAAAACCCTTGATTTTCGTGGTAGTTGTGTAGGGTATCATATGGTCGGCCCCGTCCGACTATACTGCTCCGCTCCCTGGTTTATAATTATAACCTACACAACTATGTTGTCAGGGTATTATAACTTTTTGCAGCCCCAAAAATTTGTAACGCCGCGAAATATTGGTCCTAGACCCAGACATGTGTGTCCGTCCGTCTGTCCATTATAATTTGTAAACACGATACAGGCCACAGTTATGGAAATTTTGCATGTAGGATGGGTTCTGGCCAATGAAGACCCCTATGGTTATTGATAAAAATCGGTTAATATTTAGGGGATGAAATGGACCAAAACCTTTATTTTTGTCCAATTTTCTGGTCGCTCCAGAGGCCGCAATTATGGCCCGGACTTTGCGAATTTTCACATGAAGAAGGGGGTCGGGCCAAAGAATAAGCATGCCTGTTTTTATAAAGATCGGTCAATATTTAGCGGGTCAAATGGACCCTGCTTTTTGTGTGAAAAATTACAAAATTTGTATTCTATGGCGTATATATTTACTTCTTTAGGACATAGACCAGAGAAGTTGATAGTATATCCAAGAGGAGTGATTGACCTTTAAATTGATACCAATCATATTGTCGTAGATACTCGGATGCGGGGGTTACACTTAAATATTTACAGGTGATGATCAGATAATAATTTTTCGGATGAAGTGAACCGAAAACTTCATTATTTGTACTTTTCGAGTCGAAAGCCGACCATCACAACACAACCTACGGTGAAGGGAATCTGGACAAGTAATTAGAGGGGCTGTACTAATTATTAGTAACATTTTCTGACCTCTAGCCAGTCAAAAGTGTGCAAATATTGCGAAATATTGCCCAATCTCAGAATATAGAACCACAGAAAGTTAGATTTTCATGGAAGTTGTGTAGGGTATCATATGGACGGCCCCGTCCGACTATACTGCTCCGCACACTGTTTTTTTTTTTTTTCATTATTTTGTATTTATACTCTCCACACAAATGAAATAAGTAATGAGAATTTTTATAAATTCTCAGATGCAACTTAGGCGACTAAGCCCATTACAAAAATCCTAAGGCAACGTAATTTTACACATAAACTGTTTTTCTTATTTATGCAAATCACATTGTAAATGTTTGCGTCTGGTAAGCACATTGTTGAGTCGGTTTGTTTACAAATGCTGTTGCCATGAACGCCAAAAAATACAAAAAAAATATATATTCATGTAAGGTAAAATATTTTCTTGTTTTTCTCAAATTTCCTTTGGAAATGTCTCTCACAAATACTTTGGAAACATTGTTAGAAAGCACGTGAATAATAGACCGATATAAGAATTTGCCACAGACACACTCTCATGTATGTACATATATATATGTTGATGCATTTGCTGTGAGAAAATGCAAGAGAAACCAAATAAATGAAAGGAAAAGGAGGCAAAAGAAAGAAACCTACCGGAATGCAAAAGAAGCAAAACCAACACGGCATGGCAACTAATCCACATGATGTTTATTTTGAAGTTTTGTTTGTAGTTTTCTAGACTTGTTTGGTGGCTTCACTTTGCGCCCAATTCCAGTTAAAGGGTTTCGTTGATATCACTGGAGTTTGCACTTGGTGGTTATTTGATATGGAATTGTTAAAACTAGGGTTTGGTAATACTTTTTTCTTTTTCTTGATTTTTTTTCAGGATTTTTTTCTGTATTTGAAAGTTATTGATTTTTTGTTGTTTTTTTTTTCTATTTTGGCACTTCAATATTTTTTGATTTTAACTTTTTGATTATGCTTTCCTTTGGTTGCTTCTTTTTATTAATTTTTTTCACATTCACTTTCCGGTTTATTGCCAACTGCTCGATGCGAAGGCTTTGAAGCCTTTGTAGGAATTACATTCGATGTATTGAAATTATGCTGACATTACACTTGACATTTGTCAAAGAACAGCAATTGCGCCCATAAAAATATATCTCGCGCGCGCCTTTTATTCGCAATTGAATATTTTTTTCTTGATTTCCTTTCTATTTTAGCTTTCGTTGGGAGAGAGCCTGTTTTCGCAGCACTACGCGTTGGGTTGTTTTCTTTTTATGTGGTATGTGTGCAATAATTTATGCACTCCTTGATTTCATATTGTTGTTGTTGTTTGTTTAGTGAATGCACTTTTACTCCAAACTCTCAGTAAACACACACAAGGACACTACTCTCTCTCTCCTTACTCAATATGTTTTTTATTACACTCTCACACTCCAACGGGGTATTACTATTTGAGCTTAATATCCATAAACTTCCATTTTCCGCTTAACCGTAACGTATCCTTCAGAGTTCCAACAGCAACTGAAATGTAAAATCGCCGTCACCGACCGTCAGTGCATCCATCCATTCAATCTGGCAGCAGCACCTCCAATATCATTGCTGTTCTCTGGATTCCTTTATGGTGTGGTGAATTATTGTCAATTTTAAGGTTGTCCGGTGTGGCAGCCATTTCTGTTTGCTTGCTCCCGAAGTGCGCATGCTCCTCATCACTTAAAGAGGCCACACACAGAGTGCCAAACATTGTCTGTGGTTAAGGACATTATCAATCGGCTTTGTTTTGAACTTTCATTCGTCAACGTTTTGTTTGTGCTTCTACTTGTGTGTGTGTGTGTTTAGTGTTAGCTAATGTATTTGTGTGAGAGTTTTATTTCGATGTTTGCCAGACATATTTAAGGTTTAGCATCTTTTGGCGCTTAGTTGATAACATTACCGGTACGTACACCGTTGGAATTCCATTCAGTTTTCAGTTTTCTATATGAGACGTTCGCCTGCATTGTCTCACGTTTACTGAACATCACTGTTCCCGTTACTGCAGACCTAAATTGAAGAAACAAAACATAAATGTTTGGTTATTGTATGTCCAATCGAGTATTATCGTTATAGAAGGAATACAATTTAACATGGACAGACGGACGGACATGCATAAATTGAAAGTGATTCTATGCATATTCTCAAAATATGCATCTCGTTTCCTTTTGCCTGTTACAAACATATGGACGTAGCCATAATACCCTGTACCACATTGTGATGATGAGATTACCAGAAACATAGGCCTATATTGATCATTTTCTATCCAGTGAGAACTCATATATGAAATTAGAGCCAATTCTGTTCAAAAATTTGCTGAAAGCTTAAAATTCCAAATATTTGGGGGTGGGTTTACCGTTATTTGGGGGCAAACCTAAAAAGTGGACCAATATTGATATTTTGTAGTAGGAAGATTGTTTAGCCAGTGAAGATTTTTTGCCCAAAATACTAAATTATAGCTGATTAGGTTGAAAAGGGTTCCAAATGCCGAACACCATACCACGTTCGAAAAGTCCCAGTTTTCGTACAGGAAATTAACAATTTGAAAAAAAAAAATATTAAAATATTTATAATGGGCCAATATATCTTACTCTCAATTTAGATTGGGCGAGTTTACTTGCGGCATGTTTTTGTTTGCTGGAGAGAGGTGCAAGGGGAATCGAAATTGAAAAAAAATTGCCCGCACCGACAATTTTCTGGCAATTCGTTTTGTGTATTTTGTTTGTAGTGTCAGTAATTTGAAATACCAATCCCGAACATTGTCGCAAAATGTAAAAAAATATTTTTGAAACCGAATTGCCTTGTATAGGCGCATGAAGCAAGTTCAAAAGAGAACGATAAGAATTGTGGCAAGTAAACTCGCCTAATCTAAATCAGGACTTATATCGACTAAAACACAGTTTTCTTTGCAATAAATTAGCAAAATTATTAGATACTTCAAAAATATCAAATAACAGCCAATTCGTTCGAAAATATGTATGTCAGACACACCTCGAGATATTCAACAAGACCCCTTCGGTTGAAATATCCATAGAGCGTGCAATATTTAATATGAAGCTTTTTTACTTAGTTTTACTTATTTTTTTGTTATTTGAATTTTGCCTTGTAAGGGCAGTGATCATTTGAAAGTAATTTTAAGTGGTTATTTATACTCTTTCGAGTCGAGCTTGATGATCTAAGTTTTGCAATGAAAAGGAAAGCCAGGAGAAGAACCTACGTACCCACCATTATGCGACGCGTTTCGCCGTTGGTTAAGCGGCTCATCAGGCATATTGGGCTATGTGGCTTTACAAATTTTATTCTGTGCTGATGCGAAACTTGCATATGCGAATTAAATTCAAATTTGTCAAAGTTCGACATTTGTCTTCATTCTAGGAACAGTCCTTTTCAAAGCAGATTTTTGTTGTAGAGATGGATAATTAATCCACACACCTACAATTGCTTCCTGGTATACACATGTTTTTGCGCAACCGTTTTTGGAAGTGTTGATGGCTCAGAACGTTAAGCGGTCTTGGCAACATTAGTGTTGCTCAGAGGACCTAGGTTCGAGCCCTAGCCGTGCTCGGCTGAAATTAATTTTTGTTATTTGAATTTTGCCTATATATCCTACCAAATATTATTGTACTATGATCCGAACTGAATAAATAAATCGCTTATTTTGAAAGCGGTTAAAGTCTTTTTATTATTTTCATATATTTAGGGGTTTGTGTAATAATTATACCCTTAACCACAATGTGGTACAGCGTATTATATCTTTGTGTATATGTTTGTAACAGGCAAAAATAATCGAGATAGACCCATGGTTCCTTTTGAGAATATGCATAGAATCAATTTCTATGTTTCAATTTCTATGTCCATGTACAGGTCGCATTTATGATCCAAATTGGATGAAATTTGGCACAGCTCATATGTTTGGCCCAAGGACGAACCCTATTGAATTTGGGAAAAATCGGTTCAGATTTAGTTATAGCTTCCATATATATTTTCGTCCGATTTAAGGTAAATGGTGCACCAAAGTCCCTATATATCTTTCGATTTGCACGAAATTTGGCACAACGTACTAAATTAAGTCTAGAATGATATGTGTAAAGTTTCGTGAAAATCGGTTCATATTTCGATGTAGCTCCCATATATAGCTTCGCCCGTTTTAAGAGAAATAGTCCACTAAAGGCCTTGAAAATCTTTTGACTTGTACGAAATTTGGCACAGCGTAATGAATAAGGTCTAGAATGATGTTTGCCAAGTTTCGTGAAAATCGGTTCAGATTTAGATATAGCTCCCATATATAGCTTCTCCCGATTTTAGGTAAATAGTTCACTAAAGTCCTTGGAAATCTTTTGATGTGCACTAAATTTGGCACAGAGTTATGAATTAGACCGAGTATGATGTCTGCCAAGTTTCGTGAAAATCGGTTCAGATTTAGAAATAGCTCCCATATGTATTTTCATCCGATTTAAGGTAATTGGTGCACCAAAGACCCTATATATCTTAATTAACCCATAGTATTCATCATTTATATTACCAGCCTACATTTACGTATATTACACTACATATGTTAAACTAAAATTGGGTAAGCATATTTTCTTAACATTTTCCACCAGCCTACATCTAATTACTTTAATCCAGCCCAAGGTAATAATGCCACTTTTAAAAAGGTCTTAACGTATATATGTAATGATTCCTTGTTCTATGTGACTTGTAAATCTTCTATCATTTACATACAATATGTAAACTTGTATGGGTGCGAACTTTAAATTACAATGGAGCTAAAAACCGGAGAAAAAAGGTTATAGCGACCCTTAAACAATGACCCCTGTATTTTTGTGGCACACAATGATGTTATTACGTCGAAGGAAACCCTTTATTGTCATAACCCATAAAGTCAATGACATTACCGAGTCGAGTATTCATTGTTGTCAACACTCTGCTCTGCATGCTATCGTTCGCGTTATACTCTGTGGCAACGGTTTTCATTGTGACTGTTTATCATACTTTACTCACTTATGTAAGGGCATTTTGTTGGCTATGGATATCTGTAGAATATTAAGAGCAGATGCAAATTGGAAATTTATATTAACAAAAGGCGATTTTCACGTTTTTATATCCTGCACCACACGGTGGGTGGTGGAATAAGCTTTTCAATCGATTTACGTATCTTCGCCCGTATGGGTATGATATAGCCGGCCCTTCCGACTACTCTTTCTTTAAGTCCATTGCAAGGGCGTCATTTTGAAAGTCCTGGACAATAAAACAGCCAATGAGAAAAAGGAATAGCAAATTACAGCCAATTCGTTTGAAAAACGTGTAAAAACTTCTCAAAATATCGACTTGGGACAATTTTAATTTTTTTAGTGCGGAGTTATTAGAATCCAAATAGCAAATGGTATCCAATTTGATTGAAAAACGTGTCAAAAATCCCCATATTGGGACGTACCATATTATGGTGTCTACCCTAAAACATGGGTCAATATTAATAATTTTTGTTTTTATATGTATTCTTCAATGAGAACCCAAAATACCGAATTAAAAAATTAATTGAGTAATTCGGTTGAAAATCTTGTCCAAAACCCCCAGATTACCGAAATTGGGGGGTACCCTGAAACTTGGGTCAATATTAACATTTTTGGTAAGGAGAACCCAAAATGTCAAATTACAGATAATTAGTTTGGAAAAGGTGTCTAAAATACTGAATACTGGGGTATCGTTATATGGGACCGATATATCTCATTTGCAATACCAAACACCATAGGAGTGCTAGCTATGTCTACGAAAAAAAATTCA